AGCAGCAGCAGCAGCAGCGCAGCAGGAGTAGTAGTAGTAGTAGTAGTCGTCGTCGGACTAGTACTAGTACTAGTACGAGTACGAGGTACTAGTACTAGTACTAGTAGCCGTAGCAGTAGCAGTAGAACTGGTAGTCGTTGTAGCAGTTTTCGTCATAACGACCCTGTTGCAAACAACAGCATGATCGCAAGACTATGGCAGCAACAGCAAAAGCGGCATCAATCACGATTCGTGGGCATTGGAATACGCACAGCGACAATTGGAACCGTGAGGGCCTTGCCTGCCGTGATCAGTGGTACTACGTACTAGTACTACTAACTAATATAGCTACTTCATCAATGCTTGCCCAGGCCGAAGCACGAAGGCTAGCGAAAAGTGACTCGGATGCCCAAGCAGATGCAGCATGAAATCGTTATTCCCGTTTGTTTCTTTCTGGTACGACTTTTGCAGGGATTCACAGCTTCGGGTCAGGCAACGCAAGAAACTCCAACACACAACTTATGCAAAGCTTGATCAGCGTGGACACCCCTGACTCATGGTCGAATGTCGTGTTGGCATGCTGCGTAGTCACGTAGTCCAATGCTGGCATCAGAGACTTTAGCATGAGCCCCAAACCTCACACCAATCAAGGGGGGCAGCTTCTTCAAAATGTGGCTCCCACATGTCATTGCTTCCAGTCATCCTGCAGTCCTCTGCACCATGTCGGGCGCGGGCCCGAATGTGTCGTTCATTCAGTCGTTCATCCAGTCTGCATTGATCCCCTCGTTCATGTGCGTGCTTGCATGCAAGCATGCAGGCATGCATACATACACACGCACATGTTTACATACAAAAAAATGTGCGTGCCCAACTTCTTGCCTACCTACCTACCTGCCTATCTCCCGGCCTGCATGAATGCATGCCTGCGTGCATACTCAGTTGGCGATGGGTGCTGATCACATTTCCTGAACCAGACCCTTTGCACGGTCATGGCGGTCACATTTCTTAAGCCAGCCCCTTGAGCAGTTGCAGTTGATCACAATTCTTATGCCCACCTCCCCGACCGCACCCGGCCGGACCCTTTCGCGGACCGCTACCCGGACCGGAAGGTCGGGACCCGCTCGCAGCAAGAAAAAGCTGTGGTCGGCACCTGGCACAGTGATGGCACACTGGAGTGTTGCCTCTGCCTTGTGTGCGGAGCAATCTCATTTTACGGTTTCAGTGGTCCACAGAGATGCCGGCTGAGCTAGTCTGTCCAAGAAATTTCGTTCCTGCGACAAGTTTGGCGGTCCCATCAGAGAAAAAGCATGTGTCACCCTCGCCAGCAGCCCAGTTATTCTCAGGGCTCATTCCGTTTCATGGAGATTCTTGCTTTTTCGCTACCCTTTTCTTGTCGCATGGTCTTCCAAAAAATCTATTGCCTGGTGGCTGTTCTGTCGCAGATTCAGCTTCCCGGCACCTTCCATCCAGATGTGACAGTTGTCCGCACCGCCACACATTCCATGTCATCTCCGTTATTGCCTGCCAGCTTCTGGCATGCCAATTCCTGACATCTACATACAACTTGTCATGCACTTCTCGTTTCTTTACCACATCGAAGGTGTGTGTGTGTGTCTGCTCGTCAATCACTCATTGCTGCTGAGGGTTTGCCAGTCCCGTGTGAAGCAACCTTTGTCCAAGATCCTCGCTCGTCTTCCAGCCCTTCCCTCCACGCTAGAACTTACAACCGCGCACCCCAAGTCCTGACTCCTGACTTACGACTTTGCAATTATATATATATATATGGGATATATATATATATATGCCTCATACTTCCGGCCGGTTTTCGGATTCAGAGTCGACAGTCCCACTTTGCATGTTGCTGTTCCTTGCTAGGTTTAGGGTGCAGGGTCTGCTTTTTGAAGGCTGTCCCATATCTGGCTGCTGATTCGGGTTGAGTTTTTTTCGGGTTTCAGATTTGCCAGTTCGCACTTATGTCATTTTGTTTGGGGATTGCGACTCCCTAAGTCGTATAGGATGCTGATACAGCCATGTTGTCCGCAGATTTGCCCCTCATGATTTCTTAAGGGTCTGTCGCCATGCAAATACCTGCTCAGCTTAGGCTTAAGACGTAAGGTTTGGAGTATGGAGTGCCTTTTAGTTTTGGGCCTTGGTCATTCACGCTTTTTGTGAACCAGATTCGCCCCGTTCTCCTGTTCCACTGCGAGCGGTTCGTTGTTTAGGGTTTGTCGCTCCGTCGAAGGCTTCTGAAGGCTTGGGTTGCAGCTACAACTTAGTGGCTTAGGTTTTGACTTTATATTTCAGGTTTGGACTTGCATTTTGGGTCTTCCGGTCTCATGTTTTCAGGGGCTTGCCAATCTACCACGCCCCATAAGGTGCTCCGCATGGAGTATTGTTCTACCTGACGTCTCGGGTTTAGTCTATCTTCTGCTGTGAGCTAAGTGTTTTGTGCTCCGAGCTGCGTTTTGAGTTTGCCTGTCGTCATTCGTTCAGAGTGCGGGGGTTTGCCGTGGCTCGACTTCACGTGGCTGGGGCTGAGGTGCGGTGCGGCAGTGCTGCTCACCGGCAGTGGCAGAGCTCGCCGTGGCTGCAGAGCCCAAGTACCATGCTGTGCCTCATTGGGCAAACGTACGTCATGCGGATTGTCGGAGCACTAAATTGTTCACTACACCAAGTCTCCACATAAGCACCCTACTTACCTCCCAGACAGCCGAAGCTCAAGCATCTGTCAGCACACCGAGGGTTTCTCAGGTGGGCCTAGGGGGCGTATTCTGGCGCCGAGCGCCCTGGCGCCACGAGCGGAGAGGGGAGGTGCGGCCGTTTGCAGATTGCTGCGCCCAATAGACTCAATAGACCTGCCAAGTTGTGGCATAAGTCAGGCGAAAATGACATGGGGATCGTTGGGAGATGCTTTCACAGCCATTCGGGGATTGAAGAGGGTCCTGTCTTTCGGGACCCTGCCGCCACGTTGTACATGCACTGGCGTCGCCTTGCCTTGTTGCGCTCCATGTCAACGCGAGGTCGAAGCTTCCACCGGAACGCTGAAATGCGGCGTGTGCCGGATGATCACTCTTGGCTCGTGCCCAAGTGCATTCTGAGCATCATACAGTTTCTGTGCAACCAAGCTGTGGACACTGCTCGGCCAGTTTTTCGAGTGTTGCAGAGCCCAGGTGCTGTTGATGGCAGCAGGCCGGGTGTCAACGAGGCTATTGATGCTCAGCGCAAATACAGCCGTGACCCTACACACGGGCATGGGGTGTGCAGTTCCAGATCAACACCAGCCACGAATCGTAATAGCTGAAGCATCTCCGGTTCTGCTTCACATCAAGAAACAATTTTGTAAGCACAACGTGGGGATGGAAAGGATGCGTGAGAACCCTTTTGTGTGGATTCGGTGAATTGATTGGCTGAAGTGGTGCGCCGGGGTCATTGGGTGCGATGTCGCTGTGTCTTTGGAGACGGCCCTTCATAAATCGGTACGCCGCTACGCCAACAGCGAGGTCAGCGTTGACTGATGTTGAAGAGTCGACTGAAAGATTTGAATAGACTCAGTCAGCTATGCTCGTGACTCCTGATGCTTCTTGATGCTGGCTGGTGGGATGTGTCTGAAGCGTTTGCTTGGCTGAGCCCGACATGTCGCTCTGCACCTCGAAAGCGAGCTCACCGGTTAGTCTTTGATACTACAGAATTGCAGGTTGACTAGCCCTTTTGTCGTGCTCTGCACGGTCTTTTTCGTCATTGAAAGGCTCCTTGCACAGCTCGCCTTCCTCTCCCTTGCTTTCTGGTCCTCGATGTTCCGCCCTTCTCTTCCAGTGTCTCAGTTTTCGGCCTGGCACCCTTCGCAGATGGCAGCCATGGCGCTTCTCAAGCTGCGATGTGAGGGGAAGGGTGCACAGTGCAGATATGTGCAGATGCTGCTGCCAGCGTCCATTACCTAGTGGGTTCGTTCTGCTTTAGCTGAGAAGTCTTGCAAGTATTGTCACGGTCTTGTCGTTATGGATATACGCAAGGAGCATTCGTGCGAGTCGTTTCAGGCCTTTATTGCATGGGACTTCAACCGGCTGTTGTCCTACACTGCCTCCGCAGAACATGTGCAAGCAACTGCCTAGTTGAGGTTACAAGAAGCCAGAGGACCACTCTGTGCGAGTGCGCCTTTCCTTCACTCGATAATGTACGGCTCTGATCTCGATGCTTGAGGAGCTGGAGGCACAGGCCAAGCCTCAGAAGTGGCTGCATGGGCTGGACCTGGATCCCAAGGTGCCGCAAGCCTTCGTTCTTACGGCACCAAAGCTCTCTCTCAACAGGGTCAGCGCGTGTGCTTTGTCAGCCTCGTGAAGTACTGCAAATGGTGCGCAGTCCATGCCAACCGACGCTGACGACGCCACGCCATCGCCGTGGGCGGAGAAGGCGGTCAAGGTGCACGCCTCCTCCAATCCGCCTTGATTCAAGGCATTGCCATAGATTTTCAGAAATCCAACTTTCCAGTGATGTTACAATTAGGACAGCACTGGCAGTAGCACCAGGGTCCCAGCAAGACATTTCCGTTTTGGCACCCCCTAACGTTTTGTTCCGCAGAATGAAGTCCGCAATCACGGCAAACACTTCGTCCCAAACAACATCGAATAAGAAAGACCGACATGGGTGAGACGTCATGTTTTGGTTTGTTACGGGCACAGGTGTCCCGTGAAATACGATCCAACCCTGAACCAGTTCCCGAGAATCACTTCCGGCGGTTACCTCCACCAACTGGGTTCGAAAGTTATCTTTTTCGCAGAACAGGGCCACTAACCAAACAAAAAAGAGCAAAATTGTCGCAATCATACCAAAGCATGGCATAACATGCCAGAGACCATACAATTGACAGTCCCTGAGTGTTTTCTGGACAGAGCTTCAATTCCCTTCATAAGAGTGCGTGTCAGACTTGGAAGAGAGCTCCGTTCAGCCTCAGGGGGAGACAGAGAGCTGCAATGCCCGAGGATCCCAACCAGCCACCTGAGAGACCGGACTTCTCCGGCATGGACAAGGTGCCAGGGCTGTCTCGTGTGACTGTTGCAATGAATCGATTGCTGATACTATTCTTGTCATAACCAGTATCATCATGACCATAGTCAGTAGTGGAGCAACAAGCAGCTTCAGCAAGACCTGCGTATCCAGAAATTCACAGAGACAGCAAAATGCGGAGGAGCCGCATCCGGGCTGTAGCAGTGAACTGTAGAGATGACGGTGATGCGGATGTTGCTGGGGAGCGTGATAAGACGACGGTGATGATGACGATGCGATACATCTGGTGCTGATACTGACGGTAGCGATTAGTAGCAAGAATCGTATGGCAAGAGAAGGAGGAAGAGCACAGGGGCGAGACGACATGCTGAGCAACGGAGTAGCGACACCTTGGCCTGGCTATGCCAAGGACGAGCGGCGGCGGTGGATGCGACGCTTCGGCATCAAGCGGGGACCTGAGCAGCAAAGTGGGCGCTGTAGTGGGGAAGCATGATTTCGACAAGACAGTGACAGGCGTCAGTGAGGGCGGATAATTCTGATAACGATAATAGTCTCCGCAGTTCTGTGTTTAGAGCTAGTGCAGATGACAACAAGCATCAGGCAAAGCGAGTGTGTCACAGTAGCTAGCTTAGCTACTGCACAATGCAGCAACAGTGTAGTACTTGCAATCCTAGTGCCAAGAACGATGCAAACATCGTTGCCCAGGCCCCATGAGATGCTTCAAGCTTCCGACAAAATTGAAAAGGTCGCCTTGTTGAGCAGCTGTGTGGCCTTGAAGTGGTATCGGTGCACGTTGCACACAAGATGATCTTGTTGGCAGGACAATCAGCCAAAGGAGAAGAAGGCCATGACTTTGTGGAATGCAATTTCCTCGACGAGTTCAATCTCTGGTGCGTCTTTAGCAAAGGCCGATCTACCGAAAGCTAGATCCATGACCAGTCCTGGACACAGGAGAAGCGTCAGTCGCTCTATAAAGTAAGCGAGAAGGAGAAGAAGCGAAGGACCCCCGGGTCGGTCAAGTGGACATACATCTGAAGAACTCTGCGAAGAGACTGCCGCTGCACTTGCAAGTACTTCGTGCAGTGCAGGAAGACGGGCTCTGACAGCCACCTGCCCTTCAGCGCACGTGAGCGCATGCAAGCGGGCCGCGGCTGAATCTCTGTGGCCTGCTGTGGTTCGTAGCGGGCCGAGACAAAGCTCCGAAGTTAGGCTGCAAACTCTGTTTCCCATGAAAGCATCAAAGCTCATGCTTGTGCCTCAGCGCACCAGGTTTTGCCTGAACATGGGAGCAAATCAAAAACCTGTGCATCACCTTGCATCACCTTCAGCCTTGGACCGGATAGTTTCCTGCTGTCGGACCTGCCTCACAGGGCCATTGCCATTGGCAACACCGATCCCAGGACTGTCGCACTGCAGAAGCATAGAGCAATTTGCTGTCGGTCGATGTGGAGCCATGCCTCGCATGCATCGTCCTTCTGTGTCAGGACCTTCCGACACTTCGGCGCCAGGCGTAGTTCTTCTCCATGGCAGTATCTGCTTCCTTCAGACACCTTGGCAATGACTTTGACGATTCGGGGTCCCTTTTGGGGCAAGTCGGCGCTGTGCAGCTGTGCAGGTCCTGCATGGTCCAGGCGTACCTTGACACTGGTTTCGAGGCTCCAATCTTTCTACAGTTGTGGAGACGCGACGAGTGTTTCCTGCCGTCTTCGTTTTGTTCTCTTTTGCCAAGCTCAAAGAATTTCGCGTCTTCGGCACCTGATTCTCACACCATGTCGCTCTGCTGACATGCGTGTCCCAGAAGGGGCAATCCAGGTGGCGAACCCCGAGCATCTCGGAGAGCATCCCTCATCGGCGAGCATCTCTGGAGAGGTCCGGCTGCCAAAAAAGCACGTCTCTGGCATTCCTCTTGGCTCGTTTTCTTGTTGCTTTTCTGTCAGAGACTGCATATTCTGAAAGCGCCAGGTTGTTGGAGAAAGCTGTGGCTTTCGCCTACGTTTCTCGACGAACGTCGTCGACAGGGAGTTCCTGTCGAACAAGGTTGGCTTGAAGTGGCTTTCTGATGCAGTCTTTTCAGTTCATGTCCTCTTTGAGCATCTTGCGCACAGCTCTGATGGCTTGTTTTCTCGGTAGAGTGAGTATGATCATGGCCGCTAGTTCGCTGGATGACCTGTGTGTCCACAGTTGCTCGAACTGCCCGAACCTGCACATGTTGACGCCCGGCTACAGCAGGTGGTTCACTACTCGATTTGGGTGAACTTGTTGTGCGTCTGGCAGATTAGGTGCCCCAGCTCAGTGCAATGCCGGGTTGAGAGTAAAGAGCGTCGTGCCACTGCTTGCCATAGAGCGTGTGAGAGCTCAGGACGCACAAACGGTTTCGGGAGGGGTCCTGCTGGTTGCTGTAACATCAGGGCAACGACGTATTTTGCCCTTTCACTGGGCCTCAGTTCCCAAGGACCCAGCGACCTGCCTCTTGTTTGCAGGTGTTTCATGCACCAGATGAACGAAGCCGACGACGGTCCTGCAGTTTCTAAGGCAGGGTAAGTGGTTTCTAGGTGGATCCGCTGTAAATTCAGCCATAGTGCTTCGGTATGCTGGTTATCTCTGAGCATCTTTGCAGTTCTCTTCGGTTCAAAGCAGAGCTACGCAAGTGGACAGGTCTCCATGCTCTGCATTGCCATGCAGGCTCGCCTGTTCATGGGACTGTGGGCGTCTGTCGTTCTCTAGCTCTCCCTTGTCGACGTTAATTGTGCCGATGCCTGTCACTGTGTCGGCTGGACGGGAGGCTTTGACCGATGCCTACGACTCTTTCCTCCATCTCTGCCTTGGTCTTTCATCACAGGCGAGGCTGGCAGCCGCAAGCTACACGTGCAGTGAGCCTCGATGCCCTGCACCTCTCTTGACATGATTCGCCAAAATTATTGACATGGCAGTATCTCTTCAACTCTATGTCCATGATCGCTCTCTTCAAGTTCCTGCTGTGCTCCTTCCTGGAAGCCGTGCCCCAAGACTTGTCTCCGAGTCTCTGTCTGTGCACATGTTTGCAGCAGCCCCTGACGTCGCCAGCATTCCCTTTGGAGGTTGCAGGGCTGACATTCAGAGTAGGCTGCAGTAGCTCCCCAGACTGCGATGCTGCAGAGACGAAGATTTTTCTAGAAGTGCCGCGCGTTTGTTGGGATGGGACGACTGGTGGAGGAGTCCCATGTCAATCAGGAACTCTTCCCAGGGAAGAGTTCCTGATTGTTTGAGAGAGGCCCGGTACCTCTTGATCATCCTGCGCCACCGACGGCATGAGGCCTTCGCTGAGGCCGGCTTTTCGGGTTTGTTTTATGCGAAGGTTCCATGTCCCGTTTTCAAGGCCACCTGGTCTTTTGGGCATGTTCTCTGTGATTCTGTGTGATTGCATGTCGCCTAAGCTGGACCGGCAGCAGAACGTAGAGCAGTGCTTCCTTTTTCAAAACTCGGTTTTCGATGATCTGCGACAGGGATGGGAATCAGTGCGACGAGAAATATCATGGCTGCGAACTCCTCGGCTGACCTTGACCCAGCAGTCTGAGATATCAGGAAGTTTGATTTCTGGGCCACAATGTCTGGTGTCTACACACTGAGGCGCGGGATCACGCAGGTTAGGACTTCGATGCATCTTCCAAGTGTTTCTGGCCCTGTGCTTTGTTCAACTTCTCGAAGCCCTGGACTCTGGCCCAGTCTTTTGTTGTCTGTCTGTGGAGCATTCTTGTCTTCTGCCATTCTACTTGGAGGCCTTGCCGAGATGCTGTCGCTACCAATGCTCTGCAAGAACTCTGCTTTCCTAAGTAGCCCCGGGCGAATGGGCCAGAAGTAGAGGCACCCGGACCTTCAGTCCACCTGCGATTTGCACGGTTGAGGTATACGCGATTTTATGGTGCCCTGGTGCTGGGGCTCATCATCATCTACAACTGTCCCCGCCCCAGTCGCCAGTGGAGTGTGCACTGAGCCCCGAATTGCCTAGCTTTATGCCATACCCTCTCCAAACGGGCATCCACGACCTGACCTCAGTCGCCGGATTCAGACGAGCTTTGAAGTGTAGGCATCGGGGCCCATCGGGGGGTAGCGGTCAAGGCAAAGGCCTAGGCCCCTAGGCACGGCGACAAGGAGTCGGTATGCCTGCAGCTCCGGGTGGGGCAAAGCCAGCTCTTTTGAGTGGCAAGGTCTTCCTTTTCTCGACCTCGTGGTGCTTCTTCTGCAGGCTCATGCCGCTGAAGTAGCACCAGCCAGCTGCAGACCAGGAACAGCCAGTCTGGCAACTTCAAGCTGCACACGAAATCCTCTAGACACTCTGCGGTGATCGGTAGGATACTCTTCGACTGCTGCTTGTTGTGTTTGGCAATCGCTGCAGTTTTATTGGGTGCCGCAAATTGCCTGGGACGCCTGGCAGGGCACGAGGCGCATCTAAGCTTGCAGAGCTTGTACTGTTTCAGGCAATTCATTCCGACTGGAAATGCACATGGCCGGAATACTGGTACTAGAAAGTGGGCACTCGTTTGACTGCATGACTGTGGAGTTTCAAACAGTTTGCAATGTGCAGGTGCAATTCCAATCTGGTGGATTGTTCCCCTTCTAGCAGCGATCCGGGATAGCCTGGGCAGGGCCTCGCTGAAAACCAGCTTCATCTCGGGCATCTCGGCATCCAGGCTGGCCCAAGAGCTTCGCTCTTCAGCGCTTCCATAATTTTTGGCTCCGGGAGTTTGCAAGGATCTTGCAGGTCGGGTGTCTGTGAGGCGCTTTGAAGTTCTTTGAAGCAGGAGCCAAGAAAGCTGCGCCAGTGCGATCTGTTGTGCAATGTCACCCTGCGACAGCTCTGAAGCGACTCAGGCTGCTTCTTCCGCTTTACCTTTGGGGCTGCACCGGCCCCAAGACGACTCCGAAGGCTGCCGTTTCGCGACATCTAGCAAGGGAAGCTTCATGCAGCTTATGCTTGAAGCATGCTTTTGCATGTGTCGATGCTTCAGCCGACCATTTTGGGCCTCCGAGGCCCCAAGTCGATCTTCAGCGGAGAAATCTACCCGCGGCTTCCCGGAGTCGGGGGCTAAACCCTAAACCCAGCCGGCAGCCTCTGTTTCTGGCCAGACCCCTGATCGGCTCAGCTTTCCAGGCTCCGAGCTTTCGCTGGTGTCTCCTTCTGGTCGGACTACAAACGATTCAGGCAGGGGACTGAATCTATGGCATTTCTTTGCCGAAGCGCGGGGGTCGGCCTTTCCAGCAAGTGCAAGTGCAGCAGTGGGTCACAGCGCGGCACAGCAGGCAGATCACAGATGCATCGCAGTGTTCAGCTGAGGTCGGAGTGTTGTTATTGCAGCGTCGACTAGGCGCTCGATGGTTTATCCCCTGGGTTGGGCCCCCAGGCATGTCGGATGCGCATGCTCGGACCAAGGGACAGGAGGACGTAAGCTCGAACGAGCTAGCAGCAGCTAGCAGCTTCACAATTACAATCTGAATTTAAAAAGATGCACATTTAAAGTGTGTAAGGGATGTAGCTGGTCTTCGACGTACCTGCAGCTCAATACGCAACTAACTATTTCACGGTTCCCAATGCAACAATAGCCGATAGGTTTAAACTCCCCAGACCGAAAGCAGATATATGTTGGCCTTTGGCCTCGACCTCTCAAGCCTGATAGGCTTTGTCGCAAAGATCGAGCTGCTCAAGTAATACGTTGGAGCCTTACCCTAACCCTGAAAGCCTTCGCCTGAGAGAGCACGTCTCTGCTATGGCCTGGGTGTGGATACTGGCGCTGCTACCCCTCGCGCTTGGTGAGGCTCCTGCCTTCCGCAGAGCTCCTTTGGCAGACTTTGCAAATGTTCAAGAATGAGCCTTTCGCTACACGGGCAAGCACAGGCCGCTTATCTATTTCTTTCATTGGTTCAATAGCCGAGGCAAGCCAGGTGCCGCCGATGCCCCAGGCGCCTGCTCCGCCGCCCCCGCGACAAGCACCTCCGCCACCGCCCCCACCTCCGCCACCCCCCCCGCCCCCGCCCTCCCCTCCTCAGCCAACAGCAAAGTCCACGACATTTGTGGAGACAGACAGCACAACGACTACAACCACTACGACCACTACGACTACAACAACTACGACTACGACCACCACGACCACAACCACCACCACAACTCCAGCGCGAACTGTGCCATCTGCGGTTCTGAGTGACAGCCATGGCCCGAGCGCCAGTCATGCCAAGAGCATCCAAGAGCTCACAATCTGCAAGGTCTCCCGATTCCCCTATTTCACCCGTACTCCTCCAAGGCGATCTACTCCCGGAAGCTGGCGACGGCCGACAGCGGCATCTGAGCAGCGTGAAGGCCGCGCTTCGTGAACCTTGTGCGGAGGGCCTTTCTTGAAGGGAGGGCCTGGATGCACCGTCTTTTGAATCCAGGAGGCCGGCCACCACACCATGCATGGAGCATGGCCAGCCAGCCGCATTCAGCCACGACTTTTGTTGTACTTCGAAAACATTACTACCATTGGCACTTATCTTTGCTGCAGGGTGTGATGGGTTCGGCGGTTTTCTGGTCTGCAGTCTACAGAATACGCATTGACTGCAGCTGAGGCTCTATGGCGAAGAGTCCTTAGTTTTCTGCCATCCAGCAAGACGAATGCGCGTCATGTCAGTTGTGTAGGCAAGGACTGCAAGGACTCCTTGATAGTAAGCTGTGCTGGCTCCCGAGGACTACGTTGATGAGGTGGCAAGTGCCGACACTGCTGTCAAGTGCGCTGCCAGTTGTGAAGCAGATGTTAATTGCTCCAGCCTCAACTGCATGCACTTTCGATCAAAGCATGATTCGAGCACGGGCCACGATGCCAGCACACGCCATTCAAGCACAGGCGATGTAAGCACTCTCGATCCAGACATGCTGAGCTCGCGCGATAACAACCGGATGCAAGCACTGGCAGATTTAGGCGTAGAGCCTTCAAGCACTCGCGATTCAAGCCCTCGCAATTCAAGCGCGCCCGATTCCAGAACGTTTGGGGTATTTTGGGGTTGGGAGCGGATTTAATATATGGGGGCAATCAGCTTTGAGGGTTTATGGTGTCGTTCAGGCTTGTAGGGTTCGGAGTTTGCAGTGTGTTTTGGTTTTCTGGGGTCTAGGGTTTTGCGGGGTTTGTGCGTTTCAAGCTGCAGGATGTTTCGGGTTTGGGGATGCCGGGGTTGCTGGGTTTAGGATATGCGTTTCTTCGGTTTGATTGTTTGCAGATGGACCTGTAAGGTTTAGAACTTTGTACTGAACTTTGTGTCCAGTATGTGTCCTGATGCCCAAGTTGCACGCTTTACGTGGGTTCACGGTTTTTAGGGAGTTGCGGTTCATGCGGTAGTAGGGATGGGATATCTGGTAGTCTTTGATTCCAGCCTGAAGCCCTCGAGCTCACTCGGTTGAAAGATCCTTGGATTGCTATCTACGCTCTTGTGTGCAGCTTCGCTTGATTTTTCTCGTAGCTGCTTGCCGTTTTTGGTCTCAAAGCTCCTACAGACAGAGCCGATAAAGCAGAACCCAAACTGCAACTGCCGGACAGTCGTAGTACTGGTGGGGGTCATGGCGTTCGTGGTCGTGGCAATTGTAGTACTCGTCGAGGAACAGCAGCAGCAGCAGAAGCAGCAGCAGCAGTAGCAGCAACAGCAGCAGCAGCAGCAACAAAAGCAGCAGCAGGAGCGGTAGCAGTCGCAGTAGTAGTTGCATTACCAGTAGCGCACGAGCAGTAGCGGTGAAGTAGTAGTAGTAGTAGTAGTAGCAGCAGTAGCAGTAGCAGTAGCAGTAGCAGTAGCAGTTGCAGTTGCAGTTGCAGTTGCAGTTGCAGTTGCAGTTGCAGTTGCAGTAGCAGTAGCAGTAGCAGTAGCAGTAGTAGTAGTAGGAGGACGTCATTTTTCCTTACCCTTGCTTGCTTTGTTATTAATTACATCCAAGGGCCGCCAGGATTCGTTCG